AGGACTATTTCTCCTATTTAGCTCCTCTTTTGAAATTTCTTGCCCATTATGGTGAGTGGGTGTTTTGCCTGCATTCCAAATGGAGCTCCTATCCCCTCTCTCCTGGGCCATTACAGTGGTACCTCCATTCACAAACTTGATTCTTTCCACTATTTTGGTTTCAAACCAAGTTGTTGAGAACTGAATCAAATGTGATGGTTCAGTTCAATGTTGACCTTATGGGGAAATTTGATTTGGTTTTTGTCCAGTTCAGTTTGCGACAAGAATCATGGTGAGAATTGAGTTTGTGAACCAAGGTACCACTGTATTACTGCCACCATGATACCTGGAAAAGAATTCAAGATTTGGAAAAAATAAGTTTGGAGGGATGGGTCTTTTGGTGTTTTGTTTGTTTAAGATTTAAGTAATTTTGGTCTTTTCACTATTGTTATTTTATCCCCAGAAATAGCTATGTTATTTCTTGTTTCCTGCACTGTGAATTTAAATAATAGCAGTAGGCCATTTTAAAGAAATTGTAAAAGAGTCCACCTAAATAATTTTAGAACACTAAGCAAAGACCGATTTTCCAATAGTAAGCAGAAATTCCCAGGCTCTGATAAGTATCTTGGCCCCTAGAAGTTGAAATAGCTCCCTGGGTTTCTTCTGATGCTTGTCACTTCCCATAGAATGCAGGAAAACTCACTTCTGACTGGGTGAAGAGGGTGAGGATTGCCTGGAGCCTAAGAATCCTTGTGGGTAGCCAAAGGTGTAAAACAAAGCAAAACAAACCCATACACTGAGAACAAAGCCTTCCCTGCTTTGTTTTGTTTTGTTTTTGCCTAAAGCTTGCCATCAGCCATAAAGCAGCATGGCTCAAGTTGGTAGGTCGATTGCATGTTGGTGTATCAAAATGCTCGTGAGAAGAAATTCCTCCAGGGCCCTCTCTTGTCTACTGCATCACAGATACAGGAGCAATGTTAAGGAGCAGAAATGGCTCTCAAGAAGTCTAGACCCTCCCTTCTGTAAGCCCAGAGCCCATGGACTGCCCATACACTGGGGTAAAACCTGTCCTACCCATCTCACTGCACAACTAGCAAACAGATTTCCAAATTCCATTTCAGACCTGCCTTTGCTTTGCAGCTCATCTGCAGGCTTCTGAAGCCCAGGGGACAAGCCTTCTCCCTTGTGGAATCTGCATCTTAATATATCCTCACTGAACCAGGGAAAAAGCTGGTCATAAAAAAGAGCCTTGTTATCTGCTAGTGTGGTTTCTCCTAGTCAGTGGTGTCTCTGAATTATTTTGCTCAGGAGAAGTCAAATGTTAAAAGGATTGATTTTTCTCCCTTAATAAACAAGCGTAGAGGTGAAGGATATGAGGCCAAGCACATCCCACGATCTGAAAGTGATTGCTTAATTAAGGCTATTTTCTTTCTCTGAAGAACATCTTTAGGTGATAATGTTGCTAGGTTATAATCTTATTCTATGGCTAAATCTTCTCTTTTATAATTGGCATACATATTTTTTGATAGTGTGATTTGCCTTCAGTGCAGGATCTAAACTAGTTTGGTCATTTGCTTAAAGAAAAAATTAAGTCAGTTCGTGAGCTGTAAGGTTTTTCGTAGCCTGGCAACATTCAAGTGGATTTGTGTCTCCCCTAGTGCATGGTGTATTTTTGGCTTGTTGAATGAATACATGATTATGTCTGAATGTTATAATACACACTTTCCTTCAAAACAGCACAGAAATTTCCTTGATGGTATTTAAGGCAAAAAACTAGCAATGGGCCACAGTGATATATACATTAGTAGTGCGTTAAAATCCCAAGGGAGTATCAATTATCAAGTTAAATGCAGTTTCTATTTCCAGCTAGATTGCAAAGCACTGAGATAATGTCACAGGCCTTCAAAAGGAGAGTTTTAATTGATCAACCTGTAGTCCTTGAATCCGAATGAGCCCTGTTCTCATTCCCAAGGGGGAAACCCTAATTCTAGGTCAACCCAAGAATGTAGGAGAGGAGATTTCACAGTCTGGCTCATTCAAATTAATAATGTTCCTTATGAGGACCTAATCATAATGGGAGGCTTTTTTTAAATCCTCTAACTGCTCTAGTTTAAAATGAGGGATTCATTTAGGTAATTATCGTCCCCATGCCCTGGGCCTAACTTTTAGAATACTACTGTGTCATTCAGTTACTCAGTAAGTAATCTTGGAAACAAAGCTAATTACCTTTCATTCTGTGCTCTTGAAATGCAAATATCATGCAAAATGAGTGCTTGAGATAATTCTAGACAGCCTAGTGTGCTTCTGGGGGAGAAAGAAGAAAGAGGATGGGGATTATTTTAAGCAAGGTGATTTTTCTAGGTGATTTGCTCTGTGTCCCCCACCACTCAGCACGTGGCATAGAGCTTGACACTTAGCAGGCATCCAGGAAATGAGAGCAGAGTAAATGTCCTCAGATACTTGGCAGGATAGCATGGTAATATACCACTTACAGCATAAGCACCACAAACTAGGTACAGTAACCTGTGCTTTACTTAAGCACAGTGTTATTTCTCAGATTTTCCCTCCTGATGAATCTTCACCTATTTGAATCTTGTTTTTCCCTCGTGAAAACACTGCATAATGGGTGGTTGTTTCTAAACACATAAGATAGATGAGTTTGCTTCAACTGTGATGTATGGGATTGCGTTGTTTTGTTTGTGAGATGAGGTCTTACTGTGTTGTCCAGGTCGGTCTCAAACTCCTGGGCTCCAGAAACCCTCCTGTCTCAGCCTTCCAAGTAGCTAGGACCACAGGTACACTGCCACGCCTGGCTAGGGTATTTTATTTTTCAGTTTATCTTAGTGGTAATGTTTTATTTTTTAATGCTGTTAGGAATCTAAGCCAGGGCCCTGTGTATAGCTAGGCAAGTGCTCTACGACTGAGTCACATCCCCAGCCCACAATGTGTGGGTTGTGATATTTCATTTTGTTTTGTGGTACTGAAGATTGAACTGAGGGCCTTTGCACTGGGCTACATCCCAAGCTGCTTTCTTTCTTTCTTTCTTTCTTTCTTTCTTTCTTTATTTATTTATTTATTGGAGACAGGGTCTCACTAAGTGGCTAAATTGCCAAAGCTGAACTTGAACTTGTGATCCTCTGGCCTCGGGCTCCAGTGGTGCTGGGATTACAGATGCACACCACTACACCCAGGTTGATATATGGGTTTTAAGAGCCACTTCCCATAAAATGTATGAATTTTTTCAATTATCACTTCATTGAAAGCAAAAACTATCTTTTTCTATATTACAATATATGTACTGGAACTTCTTAAATCTCAAACATAGTGAACTTGAGCCTTAACAAAATGAAATATATATTATACTTTAAGCTCTCAAAAATCCATTGAATTGAATTTCTCTCATGACTTTGACTTTTCTTATTCTACAAATGTGCGTTGGAAGATTTATTAAAAGACTGTTTTCATAACATTAAACCAAAATTTAATTTTGAAATTTAACATGAATCATTTAATTTATATTTAAACCCAGTGAACACTGAGATAAGTTTTCTAACTCTATTCCATTAGGAAGGAATAAGATGGTCTGAGACAACCCAACACCATATTATTCACAACCTGTTCACCTATTCTGCACATAGGTATGAGGCTGGTACAGTTTATTGTGATTGATACTTCCTATCTTCTATGTGTGTGTTTGATGTATATCACCAGAATAAACCACAGCTGGGCAAGACACCTGGGACCTACAGCCAGAACCATAGCTCTGGGAAAAGGCAAACTCATTAGGTATCACGAAATCTGCAACCTGTCACATGTGTGGGCAGTGATAGCCTTGCTTTTGGAGACCAAGCTCTATGACACAGAAAAGTGAGAGAATAATTTCCATTTGGGATATTCAGTTGCGTGACCTAAACATTTGGTGGATGTTTACATTTTTAGAATTTATTACAGTAAGGAGACACATTGCCATTAACCTCCCTGGAAATACGCGCCCTTTCTTCAAACACACTTATCCCATCCTTCTTGGCACTCTCTTGAAGCAGTTCTGGAAGTCCTCTTCTGCGAGTGTCTTTGATGGCACTGTTACGCTTGCTTCGATGTCCTGAATCAATTCAAAATATTTACCTTTCATGGTCATTTTGACTTTGGGGAAGAACCAGAAGTCACATCGTGATAGATCCAGTGAATAAGGTGAATGAAAACACACCCTGATGTTTGTTCGAGCCTGCTTTTCTGTTGGATGGCACTCAGCAGCTGCATCCACCACAGTTTTCACCATGCCTTGTAAAAGATAGTAACAAAAAAGGACTTCCAGAACTGCTTCAGAAAGTGGCAAGGATAATAGGATAAGGGGAGGATTTTGAGGGGAGTTAGTGGTTATGTGTCTTTTAAACATTCATTGTATATTTTGATCACTTCTTGCAAGAATTACATCAGATTTTTTTGTTTTCCTCTGAAACAAGTATAAAAGTCATCTAGCCCCGGAAATGATGTGGAGGTCTGTGGATACCACGTAGGTGACACTTTTGCTTTTCAAATAGTGTGGTCTTTGATAATCTAGCCCTTCACATCTTCATACTGTGAAGTTGTTTGCCTGTTTCTTTTTTGTTTCCTGATGGTGCTGGCATTAAGTTTACATACAGATTCTCCATCTGACGAGCAAGCAGACATTTCATCTTTCTTTGCATGGCTAACATAAGATCTGCCACCTCTTTTTTTTTCCAATTTCTCAGCTTCATTGTGCCTCAAGTGACACACACTCACTATAAATGTGATGCTTGGAACAGGAAACTCAGCAATTCCCAATTCCTCAAACTATGTCTAACTTCATATACAATATTGAGCCAGCCATAGTGTTACCCATTACCCATCGTACCTGATAATTCAGAATGGAAAGCCCCCACTTAAGGGTTTGGTTGACTCTTGCATCTTATTTCTCTCTCCATATTACAGAGTATGTAGCTGTCAGAAGATATGGAAATTAATTTAGTCTAGATTCATATTTTATATTTTCTCAGGTATTTATTTGAACTCATAAAAAGTTTATTGACATAATTTAAAAGGTGAAGAACTAAAATGCATTCTAAATATTGACCCAAAAGACTGTGAGAAGTAGCTTAGAGAACTTTTCATCAAAATTACTGTTATGCACATTGCCATATCCCTGTCCATAAAATCATATCCCTCCTCAAATCACACCCTCCAGGTGGTGAATTCATGGGCTGATTTGCTCTGCAAGGTGCCAAAAATGAAGATAAATTAAACTGAGAAATTCAGACAACTAGAAGGAAGAGATATAAGTGTACAAACAGGCAATTTCTGCTAGAGTTTCAGACATTCAGCAGGTTCATAATCTTCATACAAATATATAAAAATGTTTAGTGAGCTATATTTATTTGAATTCATCCACTTCCACCTTAATTCTTCACATCAAGCCTGCAAAAGAAAAAGCAAAGAAGCCATCAGGTTTTTCTTCACAGCTTTACCAGGGCATGACTAACAAATTAAACTGTATATATTTATGGTGTACAATGTGATGTTTTGAAATATGCATGGATTGTGAAATGATTAAATTAAGCTAATTAGCATATCCATCTCTTCACATACTTACATTTGTGATGAAAACATGTAACATCTACTCTGTTAGCAATTTTCAAGTATAGAGTACATTATTATTAACTGTAGTCACCATGCTGTGAAATAAATCACCAGAATATATCCTCCTAGCTAAATGAAATTTTATATCTGCTAAGCAGTATCTCCTCATTCCCCCAGCACCTGGTAACTACCACTCACTCTACTCTCTGCTTATATGAGTTAAACTATTTTAGATTTCAAATATAAGTGAGATCATACAGTATTTTTCTGACTGTGTCTGCTTAGTTCACTTAACTCAATATCTTCTAGGTTCATCATTAGTTTGATATTTTTAGGAACATCTAATAAATCAATGATTGGTATAAGTCAAATGGGGTAGAAATCCCATTTTCACTTGGAAACTTCATCTCTCAGTTCCATAAATGTGAAGTGAACTGTGAGCAGAAGGTGTGACCATCAACTTCAGCTCTAGTGATTTGAGTAATTACAAATTAAATGAGGATGGGCTGCCTGTGAACAATAGAATGCAATGCTAAACTTATGAGTTGCAAGATCTTTGGTGCCTGATGTAAATTTGCATTCAAGACTGCAATTCTTCACCCTTCTCTGTATCTACCCCTGTTGCCACGTAACTTTGTAGTCGGCCTATCATCGCGAGTGAAATATGATTTATCATGCCTGAATTTGACCACATGACTTGCTTTGGCCTAGAAAATGAGGCAGAAGCGATGGCATGCCTATTCTGAGCCTACATCTTATAAATTACATGCTTTTGCTCGATCTCTTGCACCCCTGCCACTGCTGTAACAGGGGTAGGGGTATGCCCAGGCTAGTCTTCTGACACCAGGATGAAAGTGAGAAACATGTGCAGCACAGCTGCCCCAGATAAAGTGTCCCAACTAGACCCCATCTCGTGCAGAGCCCCTATGTGACCTGAAGACTTGCAAGGGTCCAGCCAAGATCAGCTAAGCCCCAAACACATGAGCTTGGATAAAAAAGGCTTTTGCTTTATCCACTGGATTTGGGGCTGGTTTGTTATGCAGTGACAGCTAATTGACACGGTACCATTTCTTTTCAAAAGCTCTTGTAATTCAGGGATTCTCAAGCCTTATTGACACATTTGTTTTCCATTCATCTTTGGTGTTATTGTTGGTGTGTTTTACTTATGTTGATGACTTAAATCTGTTCTTTTTTTTTTAATAGTGAGCAAGACTGATTGTAATTTTATTAAAAAAACAAGATAAACAAGTTGCACATTCTCAAAAATATTCTTAGAAAAGTACCAATTCTCTTCATTCAGAAACATCGTTCTTTTTTTTTCCCTGTTTTGACATTGACAAAGATTTCTTATTTGATACTAGGCCATACTTAATCATAATATCAGGTCTGCAGTTCCTCTCACATTTTATCCCTAGTTTTGTGAACTAGATAACATAACAAAAAGCATATTCTTATAGCTTTCTCATTTTACCAGTTCTGCCTTTGAGGATAATTAGCCAGGAATTTGATTCTTTGCATATTGATATCAGCCCATTTCTTTATAGGGGTGATAAATACCGTACCATTTAATGCCAGAATACCTCACGTGAAAACAACATAAAAACTTATATATGCACATTTTGTCCAATGGCGCTGGTAGCATGATGCAACTGTTCTTGAGGTTTTGAATTTTGAATACTTGATGAGTTTTCATGGCTTTTTTTTAAACAAGTATTTGGTTTAGAGGAAAAGTGTCTGGGTGGATGACTATTAGTACCTATCATAGGTAAAGGGTTTGATATTGTCATTTGTATCAATTACCCATTATTGTTATAATACACTTCTGACTTCTTTCTTTTCAGTTTATATGAACAGATTTAGATGTTTTAGTTCACAAAGGACAAAAATTATATGATTTAATCTGTATATCCCCTCTGCCTATGGTAATATCTGGAAGTATTTGAAATCTTTATCTGCGTGGCTACATGAATTGCTAGGAAAACATTAAGGCTGTGAGCCTCTGAAGTTATGAGGATATCCTATTTGTTTTGACATCTCCTTGCCTATCACAGCACCTAATACATAGCAGGGACCAGAGGACTGATGAGTTGGGTCACTGAAGAAATGAGGACAAGACAGTCACAGGAGTGAGAGTTACAGCTAAACCCATATCCTTCAATGTGAGGCAGCAGGGATGAGCAAGGGGCCATAGATGCAATAAAGCAGGAGCACTGACCTGGTGTGCTGTTTCACTGGGCTGTCAATCCTGCCCTTTACCCTAGCCATAGCCCCATTATGGCCAGGGTATGCTCTATTCATTTTAGTGCTATGGCCGCTGTGCTGGATGACATATGCCCGGTCTCTCTAGCTTAGTGAGAGGCCCATGACAAGCTGCCTTTGAAGCCAAGACATTCCTTGGGCTTCTCTGAGCAGCATAAAAGGGGTGATGATCCATAGCAAATTGTCACTAAAGCAAGTTCTATGAGGTGTGATTTCTCTCCAAGAACTGTCCAGACTATGAAGCACTATCTGCAACCCAGAAATGGGTACCATTTTTGTGACAGGCTCCATATGGACTCCAATCACCATATACCTGTCTGAGGTAGATGAAACTGTGGCTATTCTGAGAAATACTATATATTGACACTAACCCTAAGGGAACCGGGCTCTTCCCCCCCTCATCCACTCATCCACTATGCCTAAGTCTCAAGGAAGGCTGTGACACTCTGGTTCAAGAGAGGGATGCTGGGCCATTGACACCAGCCTACACATATGGGGGTAGAGAAAGAGCTGGTGGTGACAGCACCAGTTTTGAATACCTACTGTGTGCCAGGCACTCCACCAGCGACTGACTTTACCCTGTTACCTCACTCAGTCTACAGTGAACCTGATTCATCCTTGTAGAAGGAGCCAGGCAGGAAGCAGCAGATGGAACAGAGGAAACATTGCTGTTGTCCTGCAGATCTCCCTGTCCCCCTAGCTCCCTTTTCCCCTCCCAGGTTTCAGTAGAATTTGAGAGGGATCAGTGAGCCTGGGCACAGGAATCTGCTGATCAATAGGGTCAGATACTCTCCTTCCTGGAGAACAAAGCCTCAGAGGACCAGGTCTCCATTCCTAGTCTCATGTGACTCAGCATATACTGGGAATGGCCTGGATGGGACCAGGATACAAAAGTTCAGGAGTCCAGAGACCTGGACTCCCACTCAGCATCAGGGCTTGAATTTAGAAATGGGAATCAATGGGAAGGGATCCAGAGCTAAAATTACCTAGGCTGCAAAGCACACTTGTTTGTCAGGGTGTTGGAATGCATACGTGTTAGGCAGCCTCCAGGGCCACACTGCTTTGCTGCCTAGACAACAGCTGTCAGCTATTCTCCTGTGTCTTGCTCTTCTGTAGGGGACATTGTAAGAATGATGGAGAAAGTGAGGCACCTTGCTAAAAAGTCACTCGCCAGAAATCCTGTACATCTTTTGTACCCAAATCAGAGATTAATAAAAACAGAAGCCCAATCTCTACTTTACTTTTGGGCGAGGCACACTTTAGCTGGTACAGGCATAATACACCAAATATCTCCCTTGTGTCACCCTAAGTCCAGACTGAGGAACATGTGATGTTTACGCCTTGCCATGACCCATTTATAACTGTGTTACTCATAGTCACCATGCCCCCACATACATCATGTGGGAAATGGAGTCCACTCAACACCTGTCTGTATTTAGTTCTTTAACCAGGCATGTGGGGGATGGTGTAACAATTACTTCCTCCTATTGGTGGTAAATCATAGAGCCAGAAACACAGTGACACTCAAAAGTGGTCAAGAGATAGGCAGTGTCTCGTGCTCTGGTTTGATTTGCAGTGGCAGACCATACACCCAGAGCAAGCTGGTTGAAACTTCGAAGTTCCTCAGAAGGCATCAGAAATAAGACCAAAGCCTGGCATTTGTGGATCTCTCTAGAGTTTACAAAGCACATGCACACACATTGTCCCACGTAATCATCACAATCACACCACAAGGAACGTGGATCATGAATTTCCATCAAGGCATAACTGGGTTGGAAGATATATAAACCCACAAGAACTCATACTTTCTCCATTTATTAAGCCCCCACTCTCATAATCTAGGCTAATGTAGTGCCTGCTATGCTGGAGATGCTCAATATCCTACAGGGAACGACTGCGTGTTTGTTTCACAATCTTTCCCACATATCTGTGAATTTCCTAAGAGAACAATTAGTAACCATTTTCTTGAGTATCATTTTGATTTCTAGTGAGGCTGCACATTTTCTCATGCTTCTGTAATAATTACACAACCACTTTTGTGAACTGTAAGTTCATTTCCTTTAACTATTTATTTGTTAAGGTGTTAGTGTTTAAATAATCAAGGAAGTTTAAGTCAGTGCTTTCATTCCGATGCCACCAAATCATCCCACCATTATTTTAAAGCTAGTTATAGCCAAATCCCACCTTTTCAAGACATCACCAAAGGATGTTCATTATATCACTTTAAAAGAGTTAAGAGGTCAAAAAAGAAGGATGTTCATGGAAAGATGCATTGGGTATTTGAGATCTCATTTAAGGGCTGTTGTAAATCACTTCTAAAGTTATGGGAGGATTGGGCCGGGGATTTAGCTCAGTGGCACCATGCCCGCTTCACAAGCACAAGGTCCTGAATTCAATCCCTGGTACCAAAAAAAAAAAGTTATGGGAGGATTATCTTTTTTTTAACCTATAACAAGAACTCAAAGTTGACTACCCATTGGAATTCACTTGGGGAGTGGTGTGTGTGTGTGTGTGTGTGTGTGTGTGTGTTCCAATCCCAAAGCCCAGGCTCCTCTAGAGTAATTACATCATCAGAGTCT